ATGCAGTTAGAGGCTCAGGCGCAACCTAGGCGCTTGGGGTGAGCCTAGAGCCTAGGCGAGAGCCTAACACATTCAGTGAATAAGTGAATAACCTAGCATAAGTTGAAGACTTGAAGTTCACAATTAAGTACTTAAGAGTGTTATGACTAACAAATTATATCAGAAAGAAAAGGCATATAGAGACAACAGTAATCATCAAGAGTTCAAGACTAAGAATTTATAATACTACTTAAGTTTCGATAGAATGCAATCATGCAAAATTTTTAAATAGTAATTCAAAAGTCAACAATCAAAATAATTTTAATGCAAATTCAATGTTCAACTTTCAACATAAATTAATCATCATCCATCTCCAAACCCAACATATCCTCATCATCTCCCGACATACCACCATCACTCGGAGGATTTTGATCATTCTCAAGATCTATATCATCCTTATCATCAGACTCATCAAGTTCTCTTCTTTATGTTTGAGTCGTAGCTTAACTCCTTGTGCTTGGACCAATATGATTAGGTCCCTGGGCTTTTGCTGTCCAAGTCAAGTTGTTGCCCTCGAAAACTAACTCATCCTCCGTTGGTATTATTTATTACTTATTTAATATGTTGGGTTTAAGTAAAATTAAGATTAAGTCTGGCCCAAATTGTTAAAAAACAAATAAAACTGGACCCAGAGCCTAGGCTCACGCTTGAGCCTAGTGCTAGGCTCACCTAGGCCACAAGCATAGGCGACCAAGAGCGAAATTGAGCCTAACACACCTGAGCAAAGCCTACAACTAAGCACCATACTTCGCTTTTAGCCTAGGCGCGCCTGTGACTGCATAGCAACAAATACATAAAGCAAAAAAACATGGGCCATATGGTACTTGGTTTCCAGGGAACCAGTACTATTAAGTCAGTTTTGATACAGGAACTACAAGCTATTGCTAAAGGACTTATTGGGGCAGAAATGCTAGGGTTACAAGATGTCAATATGTAATGGTTGCATCAGACTCTTAAGGGCAAACAAAAACATATCTAAACAGGAGAAGCCACCTTGGTATTGTGATGACTTGGTTGCAGAGATACAGATGAGAGCACAGAGGTTTGAATCAATGGGCTTTAAGTACACCTATAGAGAAGTAAATACTGCAGCTGACTATTCATCTGGGCAGCTGGGAGGTTCTGAAATTTGTAGTTACTTTTGTAATCCTACAGATGTAAACCTTGATGTAATCCTCAATGAGGATTGGGAAGGAAAACTGTATGCAAGATTTTATCTAATGCAGGTGGGCAAGTAAAATATTTCCAAAATAACGGGTGTGAGATGTGCCCTGGTGTGAGGATATCAAATTTTTTAATTTACATGAAGACTTATAGGAGGAACTGTGCATGTGCAGTCACTCAAATTAACATATACTACTAGTTCTTCAGAAAACGAATATGATATACGCCTAAAACACCAAATCAAGTAGAGAGAGGGACTGAGGTTCCTCCACTCAAACATGTAGGCATTCACCAAGTCAAATGTAACATACCTTGTTAGAGCGTAGTCCTTGAATCCGTTTATCAATGCCCGTGCTTCAAGAGTTCCAATGCATCCACGTAGGCGAGGCTCACTGCCATTTGATACTTTCTTCCAAGTGACAAACAATGGGCTGATATAAGAAAACAGTTCTTGTCAGTTTATGATCACTATAAGGTATTAACATTACATGAAGGTATGCCAGAGGCAATATAGTTATGCCGGAATAAGTAGTCCACATCGCATTTTGGTTTCAAATGTGCAACTACTTGTAATTCTATCTTTCTCTGTGCTCCTTAGCAATGCTCACAAACTGACTAATACAAGAAGATTCTTCTTTTACGTTTTTCATTTTGTGATCCATACAACAAAATTAATAATCAGAAAAATATTATAAATCATTTATATCTAGGATCCTCTGTTTTATCTAAATGAGATATCTACATAGAATTATATTACACC